ATCCTATGGGTGACGTCACGGACCCTACGTCCATTTATATATACAGTCTATGGTCCGAATGCTTCTCGTTTTGCGCCGTCCCGTTCAAATGAAATCACCGACAATCATATTTCCATGCTCGCGCCAGGGCCGGGGAGGGGTTACAAGGCTCGCGTCTTGTGCTGCATTCACTTGCACTCGGACATTAGAGACTTTCTCTCATAAATGTCCGATGAGCCAAAACTTTTCTTTCAAAACAAAGCGGGGGAGTCCATTCTAAACTGTTGAGTAAAACGTTTTACACGAACTATGGAGAAATGTCACCAACATTTATAATCAATATTTAAAAAAATATTATTAATAAATGAATTGCCTACATTTAGGGTGGCAAGGCATTTTTCTGAGGTGGCAGCTGCCACCCCGTGCCACCCCGTAGAACCGCCACTGTTAGTTCATCTAAAGAGCAGCTTTTGACCTATGACTGTTCACCTGATCACCGGTACCGGCGGGGATTGTTGTTAGCTTCTGCTGCGCTAATGGATATAAGAAGCTGTTTCTACAATGATGTGGAGGGAGAGCTCTCCTGTCAGACTGAGGCTCAGTGAGGTGAAGGACTCTCAGTGTCAGATAGTTCACTTTAGTCTAAGTTATCTCAGTGGCTCTCAAACGGTTTGATCACAATTTATGTAAACAAATATTTCCAAGGCACTCCTTTATAATTATTGGGATAAATAAAAACAGGTTTGAAATCATTCCAGTGTATACTATAGGACAGTAAACCAGAAATATCATTTAAAACTGGAGAGATAAACAAATATGCATAAATAAATGTTAACTGGTAAAATAAGATATAAATGAACCACAACAATAAAATAAGTTCCATGTATTTGTTATTGGCTATGGTAGGTTATTGGTTATGTTCACATACTTATTTGATTATTAAAATGCAAACCAATCTTTTTCATATGGGTGTTTAGAGTTGTACCCCCTAGATCAGGTCTCTGTAATTGTGTGCTCAAAGTGCAACAGATTGAAGCATTTTACTTACCCCCGGACCCCCCTAGAGGATGTGACGTCCACCCCCCAATTAAAACATGTTCATACAATACTGAATACATTTGAAGCCTTTTTATATAAGCTGTCCACCATGTCAATACGTTTCTCTGTTTGTAGTGTGTTGGTCTTTTGTAGAGGTTTTTCATTGCCAGCTGAAATCTTGCCTAGGGCAGCAAACTGGTCAGAACCGGCCCTGGTGTCATCCCCACAGCACCCCCATTTCAAACATGTTCCCACGGCTATGTCAGATACCAACATACTGAATCCTCTTCAGGTCAGGTTACAGGAGAGACTCTTACTTTGTGTCTGAGGGTCCAGGTTCATTACTGAAGTATGGAGGGTCCCCCATAGACCAGTCACTCTTCAGAGACAGACAGCTGGGGACTGGAGACCCTGCTCTCTGTCTGTGGAAACAACATGTTTTAAACATCATTAGTTCATAGTTTTAATGTTCTCTACTGGGTTTCATTAAACAGTTTATATGATCAGATACCAAAAAAACTGAATCCTCTTCAGGTCAGGTTACAGTAGAGACTCTTACTTTGTGTCTGAGGGTCCAGGTTCATTACTGAAGTCTGGAGGATTCCCCATAGACCAGTCACTCTTCAGAGATAGACAGCTGGGGACTGGAGTATTGTCCCCTTCCTCATCTTTTAAATCACTCATCTTCTCCAGTACACACACACACACACACACACACACACACACACACACACACACACACACACACACACACACACACACACACACACACACACACACACACACACACACACACACACACACACACACACACACACACACACACACACACACACACACACACACACACACACACACACACACACACACACACATTAATAATAAACTTGGTTCAAATACATGAAATCAGTCAGACTTCAGGCCGCTCTCCATTTTGTCTGCGCTGGGCTGTCACATGTTATGTAACTCTGATGACTCAGGAAACAGGAAATAATAAAAGTTTACAACACTTGCAGAAGTCTCAATGGACTCTAGGACGCTGATTGTTAACCAAGAAGTTATTTTCTGACATCCAGTAAAACAGAGTAAATAACTAATGTGTTAGAAAGCAGATCCTGGTGTTAACACTCACCCTGTTCTCCTCCTCGTGCCGAGCTGTAAAATGGTGTCTGGCAGTCTGACAGTCTGACTTCCTACTTTCACTTCCTACTTTTCCAACATTTCGTCCCACCAGCTCAGCCCTATTTGTTTTTCTTTCCTCTTCTGCCTCACTGCTTATGAATTCTGAAGAAACCCTCGTGGTTGAATTCTCCTTCGTGAGAGAAACAAAGGTCGCTTTAAGTACAAGAGGAATTCCTCAAGTTGTACTTTAAGGCAAAATCATCAATTAACTTTCAAGTGTTCAGTGCTCATTGAAAAGGAAGTACTTTCAGGGACGATGAAGACGTTAACTTGGTTGTTTGGGAACAAAACCACTGTTCCTATGATAACACATATATGAAGGATTGTTTCTGGGTGTCTATAACCCCCAGACACCGTTACCGTTATAACATCAATGCAGCTTGGAAGCAGGAAGCCCATTAGTAGATGTTAACGTGTGGATGAAGCTTGTAATTCACTGTAATATCTAAATGTCACACCAACATCCATTAAAAGGGCGTGATGCGATTAAAAAAGTATGTTATTGAATAAATCCTGAGAAAAAGGTAAGAAATGTGTCTTTAACAGAACAAGGGAGTTCCAGATACTGCATTAGTGTTCATGAACTCTCCTCCACAGAGACTGCATCTGTATGTCAGTTCCCATGATGTGTGTGCACCGTGTCATCGTGACTTCCTGTATGCTAAGGAGCTATACTGGGGGTGTGTTTTATGGACGTTAGGCGGCTGCTGGGGAAATGCTAATGAAGCTGCAGAATATATAGGAAGACAAGCTTTATGTGACGCTTATATGACAGAGACAATGTCCTGAGAGTGTAACACATCGAGGACATTGAGTTTGTGAATGAATTAGCCGTTATCTCAGTCAAGGGAAGGACAGCATTAATGGGAATGAATGAGAGTTTCCAGATGCAGAATGTATGAGATATGACCCAGTGAGTGGACGAGAGGCTTCAATCTCAGGTTTAGATTTCTTGTTTTTCTTTGGCTCAAATATCACAAGAACAAAAAGAGGTGTTCTCTGTCTTCTTGCAGATTGCCAGAGGCGTCAATCTGCAGTCTGCTGAACATGTGGTGTTCATTTCACCAATTCTTCAGTTCAACAAATCAGATTGGTCTCAATTCAGTTTGAACAGACTGGCCTTCGTGAAGAGAGGGAGAGACGCCCAGAACACGTGTTAATAAGCCGTCCATTTAACCGTCTAACCGTAAGAACAACAAGCGATATGTGCAGGACATATTTCAAATAGACGGCATGGAGAGAAGTCAGTTAAACAACTATTTAAAGCTAACATTCATCTGGAGATTTGGTCGTTTTCTTTCCTTTTTAATTTGTAAAACAACAACAATAGATACTGAAGTAAACCTTAGAGACCATGCCATGATGAAAGTCTACAGAAGACCCTCTCACATCTCATACGGTGCTTTAATATGATGATTGAAGTGGTGCTTATTAAACTGCTTCATATCAGACACAGAAGTAATGAGATCTCTGCAGGTCACCTGAAAGCATAGCAGTCATAAATCAACTAAAAGCATGTTTATTTGTGTTGTTTGTATTAATAGCAGCTGTTTACCTGCGTGTGCTCTTTATCAAAGAAGTCCTTTAGTCTCTAATAAAGAAAAAGTCATTGCGTTCACAAACAAAACATCAATTATAGCTGAGAGGGAAATGTTAAGCTTGAGTGAGCAGCGAAGAATTAGACTTCCAGGCGTGAAATAAATCAAATGACTGACGTAGAATTCATCGTCACAATCAGACCCAAAGAAAACACTTCTAAGGTCATTTTATATATATTTAAATAACACAATAATAACTGGAGATGTTCTTTGTGGTATAGTGTACTTTGTGTTGCTAGGCAGAGAAGCCAGCTTTAATGATCCTCTGGCGCCATCTAGTGGTTCATCTCATTATTGCAGGACACTAAATTAGGACTCACCTAAAGTGCAAATATCAAACCCCTTTGTCCAGTGGAGGGTCAGGGTGAGTATATATACTAAAGTACACATTATTTGAGAGTCTATTTGAGAGCGTTAGTTATAAGTGAGGAAACAGAGAGACTTTTCTGCATGTTATGAAATGTAATTTGGGAAACACTTTATATTAAAGTGCACGTTCAGCATCAACGAGTTGTTCATTAACATGTTAGCAGTTTCTAGGCTCTTTATTAGTCACTATAAAACTCTTAGTAATGCCTTATTCTACAAGTACTAGGCCATTAGTTAAGAGTCCTCGTCTCCTCTCTCGTGTCCTCGTCTCCTCTCTCGTGTCCTCGTCTCCTCTCTCGTGTCCTTGTCTCTCCTCTCTCGTGTCCTCGTCTCCTCTCTTGTGTCCTCGTCTCTCCTCTCTCGTGTCCTCTCTTATGTCCTAGTCTTTCCACTCTCGAGTCCTCGTCTCCTCTCTCGTGTCCTCGTCTCCTCTCTCGTGTCCTCTCTTATGTCCTCGTCTCTCCTCTCTCGTGTCCTCTCTTATGTCCTCGTCTCCTCTCTTTTGTCCTCGTCTCTCCTCTCTCGTGTCCTTGTTTCCTCTCTCGTGTCCTCGTCTCTGCTCTCTCGTGTCCTCGTCTCCTCACTTGTGTTCTCTTCTCTCCTCTCTCGTGTCCTCGTCTCCTCTCTTATGTCCTCGTCTCTCCTCTCTCATGTCCTTGTTTCCTCTCTCGTGTCCTCGTCTCCTCACTTGTGTTCTCTTCTCTCCTCTCTCATGTCCTTGTTTCCTCTCTTATGTCCTCGTCTCTCCTCTCTCGTGTCCTCGTCTCTCCTCTCTCTTGTCCTCGTCTCCTCTCTCATGTCCTCGTCTCTCCTCTCTCGTCTCCTCATCTCCTCTCTCGTTCTTTAGTGGGAATGCTGTGTCAGCATTCCCACTAAAGTAACATTTCTCCTGTGCTTTAATGTTCAAACAGATGTTATTTGAGGGTCTCTCAGCTGGCAGGTTTCAGTGGGCAGGAAGAAAGGACTGATCAGGTCTGCAGAGGTTCTGGTTCCAGGTGAAAGGGACAGGAAGTGAGCTGAAAGAGAGGGAGACGTGGATTTGAAAACTATGGAGTGGTCTTAACAAAACTCTCTCAAGTGATGACTGTCATCAAACATTCAAATCAAGAGTCAGAAAAAATGTGTTAGCAGACTACTCCAAGGAACCAAACAATGGGTACACCTAGCTGCTGTAAGGATAATAATAATAAATACTATAACAAGTACAAAGACTATTATCATAATTATCTTAATTATCAGTTTACATCAAAATAGGATGAGAAATGAAACCGTCTTGTTTTCTGAACGTGGACTTGTAGGAATTTATTTATTATTTGTTTGACTTTATCATTTGATTGTCACCCTGGAAATGGGTGTATGTACGTATATGTGTACATATGTATGTGTATGTATATATAGAATGTTGTTTATCTGTGTGCGTATTTAATTACAGAATGATCTTTTCTTTTCTTTATCCTGCTGGATGACTAACGGAGGGATACCTCTGGATACACTCTGCTTTCTGCCTCCTGCTTCTACTCATCATGTTTGTTTCTTGGATGTATAAACTGTCTAATTGTTGAAACAGTAGAATAAATAATAAAACATACAATTAAAAAAAGATCTGCAGAAGTATAAGGTACATGTGTTGAGTTTAAAATAGATGTCTAGTGTCCCTAATGTCCCACCTGATGTGTTTGAGTGGTCGTGTTTGAGTCCAGGAGCCTCGGTAGTTCTGATCCATCTGGACTCTGAGCTCTGCATCAAGTCACAGAATCCATCTTCAAAACCACACCTCTTATATCCAGAGCCTACAACCAGAAAGAAGACATGCTTCAGCCTCTTTGAGTTTAGCTTTTCAAACTGCAGGGTTTCTCGTCTACGGCCTCTTTATGCTATCTCTCTACCTCTGAATGAGTCAAAGTGTTACATTTCCATGCAATATCTGATCAAATTGACATTCCAGTCCGCTGCAAAACACCTGCCTATACAATAACTAACCTAATGACATGCTCCAGATTACAGGTTCTGTAACTAAAGCATCATATCAGGCAGGGATTTTAGCCTTTACAGACCATTTACATGCACTAAAACACACTACAGGAGAGAGAACACCCCAACAAACATAATACGGCCGCTTTAAGATGTGGTTTCTGCACACAATAAAGTAACATCATCTCATCAGAGCATTATAAGCGTTAATCCTGGACTTCACGGCCAAACATGAAACAGAAGACTGAAAAGAATTAGGGATGAAACTGAATGTGAGTTGGTATGCAAGGCAGGATTATCAATGATGCACCACAGAAGAAGAACCAGGATCTTAAACTGAAGTTAAAGTAATAATACAGATAGGTTTACCTTCCGGTTTCGCTATGAGTGGTCGCATTTTCGAGAGCTCCCGCTTTGGAGGTTATTCCTCACGATTTTTTACATATTTCATCCTCCTGACAATATGGATTATGGACTCCTACCTCAACTCATCAATGAGGCAACATCACTTAGAGAAGGAGAGTAGTGAAAGCAGGGATAAAATGAACCACAATGACTTTTACCTTCTCAACGGCTGGGAAAGGAAACACCTCGCTTTTGGAAGTGCAAGCATTCATGCATTATTAACTGCAAACCCGACGCGAAAGTACTTACCCCCGTCAGGCAAACAAGACCGAAGAAGTATGATCGTCTTGGTCTTATTGTTAGCGGGAGACATCCATCTGAATCCGGGCCCGGTGCAGACAAGAAGCCATTCCTGCAGGCTCGAGGAGCTAGCATCACAACTAGCATCACAACTAGCATCTCTTCCGCTACAGCAACAACTACGAGACGACAACAGAGACCATGGAGACAGCGGAGACCGAGGAATCAACGGAGACTTCGACATTCCCCCGGGGACGCCTCGGCAGACAGACACGCATGAGGCAGTGACGAGAGGAAGAGAACCGAGATCCGAGGGAACAAATATCCACCATGTTGTTAGCCACCCTGCTAGCATATCGACGGCTAAAGCTACAACGGAGCCTCCCTCCCCCCACCACCCCACCGCCCCACCGCTCCAAGCACCACGGCAGGCCGCAAGCCGTTTGCTGTAACGGACAAAGACAAATATCTGCAAGCTGACGACATTATGCATTTAAACAACAAAAATGGACTACATATTTTTCATCTGAACACTAACAGCCTGAGACACAAACTGGCTGAACTCAGGCAACTGTTCATGAACGGTAAGGCAAGCATATTATGCTTTTCTGAGACCAAATTGGACAATTCCATTACAGATTCAGAGATTGAAATTGAAGATTATCTTGTAGTGAGAAGGGACAGGAACGTGAATGGAGGTGGTGTCTGCATGTACATACATAAAGACACCAATTTCAAAAACCGTACTGACCTGCATCATGAAAATATTGAATCTGTGTGGGTTGAAATTCTTTTTGACAATGCTAAATCTGTAATAGTCGGGACAATCTATAGACCACCGGAACAGAGTGACTTTTATGATACATTAGATGGGTGTTTGGCTGATGTGGGGGATGTAGAGACAATTATTATTGGAGACTGGAACACGGATATGCAACGTAAAGACACGTCCGTCTTCAAGTCCTTCAGTAGGATTTGTGATCTGCACGGCTTCAGCCAGCTAATCACCCAACCCACCCGGGTATGTGAAACAACACAAACTACCATTGATCTCATTCTGACCTCTGACAGGTCCAGGATCTCCAGTAAAGGGGTTATAGCATGCGGTTTAAGTGATCATTATATGATATTCTGTACCCGCAAAAAGCTAAAACAAAAGGCCGGCTGTCACAAAACAGTCATATCTAGAGACCTCAAAAACTACTCTAGCGAGGCCTTTAACCTAGAACTGGAGAGCCTGGACTGGTCAGATGAGCTCAGTGGTACACAAGTTGAAGAAACATGGCTTGGTTTCAAAAACAAATTCTCTGCAATACTCAATGATTTGGCCCCCCTAAGAACAACCAGGGTAAAAAATCGCGCTGAGCCGTGGATGCACTCCGGCATACTGACCGCCATGAAAACCAGAGACAAAAAATGCTCTGAGTTTCATAAAAGTCAGTCAATGCTTTCCAAAAGCACGAGCAGTGAACTCCAGGCCCACGTGACTGAACTAAAAATTGAAAGAAACAGACTAAGAAATGACGTAAGCTCCATGATCAAAACTGCCAAAAAGAATTTCATCAATGACAAAACTGAGGAAAACAAAAATAAACCCCGTGAACTTTGGAAATTACTCAATAACCAGCTTGGCTGCAGTAAAAAACTCAAAACGAGATTTTCAAACTTAAACATAAAGACAGATAACAGGCTCATCACAGACAAACTGGATGTGGCCAAGTACTTGAACATTTTTTTCACAAACTTAGCCACAACTCTTGTAAATAAATTACCCTCCCACTCAGGGCTTTTTGGAGTGGATCACATCATGACCAACTACAAAAACCTAGGGGTACGCAAAGATGATTTCAGTCTAGCAAGGGTAACAACAGCAGAGGTACGCATTAAACTGAGCGCCCTCAAACCTAACAAGGCCACTGGCCACGACAATATCCCCTCCAAATTCCTCAGAGACACAGCAACCGCCATCTCACCAGTCATAGCTCACATAATTAACCTCTCCATAAAACAGGGAAAAGTACCCAAAGACTTCAAAATTGCAAGAGTAACCCCCCTGCACAAAAAGGGCAGCAAATTGGACCCAGGCAACTACCGCCCTGTTTCTATACTTACCTCCATCTCGAAAGTCATGGAAAAAATAGTATATGAACAGGTCGAAAAGTACCTCGCAGAAAAGAAACTAATCTATGAATTTCAATCTGGCTTTAGAACATCCCACTCCACTGACACATGCCTTCTTTATTTGAACGACCACATCAAACAAGAGGTGGACGAGGGTAAATACTGCGGCATGGTGATGCTGGACCTACAAAAGGCTTTCGACACTGTCAATCACCCCATTCTGATTGACAAGCTAAAAGCAATTGGTTTTGATAAACTATCGGTGAGCTGGATGCAATCCTACCTGGAGGGGAGAGAACAGATGGTGGAGGTAAACGGTACTCTGTCCCCCCCCCTCCCAGTGAGCTGTGGTGTTCCACAAGGAAGCATATTAGGTCCGTTACTGTTCCTAATTTATGCAAATGACATGTCATCAGCATGTGACTGCAACTTGTTCCTGTTCGCGGACGACTCAGCCCTGCTGGTCTCTGACAGGAGCAGATTGCAGGTTGAAAAAACCCTCAGCTCCGAGCTCGGCAGAATCTGCACCTGGCTCGCCGATAATAAATTATCATTACACCTGGGTAAAACAGAGTCCATTCTCTTCGGTTCGAAACATAATCTCAGCAAATCCGACGACTTCTCAGTTGCAGTGGGTGACATTATTGTCACAAGTAAGAAGGAAATTACATACCTAGGATCTATTCTTGAGGCAAACCTCTCCTGTGACAAAATGGCATCCAATGTAATAAAAAAAGTCAATCAAAGAACTAGATTCCTATACCGGATCTCCTCTCTGGTAAACAAAAACACCCTGAAAACTCTGGCAGGAGCACTCATTCAAGGGTACTATGACTATGCTTGCACGTCATGGTACCATAGCACCTCCAAGGCGCTAAAAATAAAACTTCAAACATCGCAAAATAAACTGGTCAGACTACTGCTTGACCTTTCATCTAGAACCCACCTCACCTCTGCCCACTTTGACAACCTAGGATGGCTTAGAGTAGACGACAGAGTACAGCTACTTGCAATGGGCCTGGTCTACAAGATCCACTACACCTCTATGGTACCCATGTACATGTCAAAATTCTTCCCAAAGGTCAAGGAATACCATGATCATAACACCAGAGGGAGCTCCACAAATCATGTAAAACCCAGATTTGGCACAAAAAAAGGGGAATACACGTTTCGCAATTATGCCACATCAAGGTGGAACGCTCTTCCCACAACTGTAAAGGAAAGTAAAACTATACTTACCTTCAAAACCTCTCTTAAAGAGCACCTTCGGGGGAAAGCATTGCAAAACTGGCCCCGGTAATGGTACAAATCTCAACCTGTCGTACAATGGACAGCTTCCCCCCCCCCATCTATGTATATACTCGCATTTTAGACTCTGTTACTAACTGTATATCTGTAGACTTGGTATGTCTTAAATGTCCGGTTAGGATGTATTAGAACGAAATCTAAAATGAAAATTGTAAATAAGCCATCTGTATGTAAAAAACCACCTGTATGTAAATTGTAAATAAGCCATCTGTATGTCAAATATGTCTTATATGTCTTAAATGATATGATGAATTGGAAATGGGGGACCCTGATGTAAACAAGACGAAAGTCTTTCTCTGGTCTGCATCCCCTTAACAATTGTATGTTTTGAGCTGTACTGTACTGTACCCAATATACAAGCTGTTGATAAACTTTTCAATCAATCAATCAAACAAATCTACTTCAATAAATGTATTTAGTTCATTTCCACCACTGCAAAGAATGAAATGTATATTCATTCATATTTTAAGATATATAACGCATTGAATATCCTCACAGACGCATGTTGTAATGAATGCATTTCAGTATACACACAGTACAGAAGTATAACATGTACTTTAGGTATCAAAAGTAAAAGTACTAATATCATGTTTTTTTTACATGTAAGAGCCTTTTAGCATTGTGGTTTGACTACATTTAGATACTTGAAATACTGTTTTTAATAGTATTTCAGTACTCTGTTACACCATATCAGCAAATCATGTGTTTTTATATGAACAAAAGGTGCTTTTTGCCTCTGAAATATAGTAGAACGACACTGGTTTTTGCTATATATACGTTGATAATGCAATTTATAACTAAATCTTGACTTGTGTATCACATTGTTCACTCTGAATATATATGGATTTGTGAAGTTATAGGTGTACGAGGTACTTTAAGACACCGGTTGAAAGGTAATCAAGTCTCAAAGTCAGTTAAAATCTGACAAAATCAATATTTACTCACAGTTTTCCTCATCGCTGTAATCTCCACAGTCGTCAGTGAAGTCACACACACTTCCCTCGGACACACACAGATCCTGAGAGCAGCTGAACTCCTGAGCTGAACACACTGCGTCACACACTGGGGTCAAAAACACCAGAGAAAAGGCAGAAAACAGCCACAGAAGCATCATCTTACTGTCTGTCCTTTAACTACAGCACATGATCTCCTCCTCTGAGTGAAGCATGTTGTTTTGAAGATAGAAGAAGCAGCTTCACTCTGCGCAGTCGTGTATCGTCCGCCAAAGTGTAATAAGGATTTCATAAATGACTTTTCTGACTTTCTGTCCGGGATCATGGTGAAATATGATCGTGTTTTGATCTCCGGAGACTTCAATGTCCATGTGTGTTGCGAGTCCAAACCTCTGGTTAGGGACTTTTTAAATCTCCTTGATTCCTTTGGTCTCGTTCAGTCCGTGGCTGGCCCAACACACGAAAAAGGACACACTTTGGACTTAGTATTATCGTTTGGACTGTCTGTATCTGTGGATGAAATATGTGCAGCAACGCGTATCTCAGACCATTTACCGGTTCTGTTTACAACCTCCATCCCTTCCGCAGGAGTCGAATCACGTGCCCCGGCGCGTCGTCTGCGTTCGATTAACCCCTTGACTGCCTCACAGTTCTCTGATGCTTTTAATGCTTCTCCGATCTGTAAATTAGATGTGAACTGTGCTTTTAATGCTGATGAGCTTATCTCCATGTTTGATTCGACATGCACACTAATACTGGATTCTGTTGCTCCTTTTACCCTTAGACGCACCAAAGTTCTATCAGAGCCGTGGCTCAATGACTGTACTCGTGATCTCAGACGCGCTTGCAGGCGTGCAGAGAGAAAATGGAAAAAGGATAAACTCCATGTCTCTCTAGAAATCCTTGGTGCTTGCCTTTCTGACTACCAGACGGCAGTCAAAGCAGCCAAAACAGAGCACATTTCTCTGTTCATCTCCAAAAACAGCCATAAACCTCAGGTTCTTTTTAATGTCCTCAACTCGATCATTAATCCCTGTGATGTTTCTTCTATTGTCCCATCGACTACTCTCTGTGATAAGTTTCTTACATTTTTTATTGAAAAGGTATCTGCTCTTAGGCTAGCCCACACTAGTGCTACCCCAGATCCTGCTCCTTTTCTGTGCCCTGCTGTCCTCGACCACTTTGAGCCTGTATCCCTCTCTTCTCTCTCGGATGTAGTCATGCACCTGCGGCCGACAAACTGCACCTCAGACAGCATTCCCTCTCGCCTTCTCAGAGATGTTTTAGAATCAGTTGGAGCAAGTATTTTATTACTTTTAAACACCTCTCTTACCTCAGGATGTGTCCCAGCTGCCTTCAAACATGCCGTGGTTAAACCACTCCTTAAAAAGAAAAATCTCGACCCCTCCATTCTCGCAAATTTTAGGCCCATCTCCCAGCTACCTTTTTTATCTAAAGCCCTGGAGCGAGTAGTCTACGCCCAGCTGCGGTCTTTTTTAACCACGCATGGAATCCATGAAAAGTTCCAGTCTGGCTTCAAACCCATGCACAGCACTGAAACAGCCCTTTTAAGAGTTTTTAATGATCTGCTCCTAGCCGCCGACTCAGGTAGCCCAGCTGTCTTGGTGCTGTTAGACCTGACAGCTGCCTTTGACACTGTGGACCATAGCATCCTGCTGTCACGGCTTGAACAGTCCGCTGGCATCACAGGCTCTGCCCTTGCATGGTTCAGGTCCTACCTGACAGACCGTGGCTTCTCGGTACAGCTAGGTGCCTTCTCCTCTGCCAAAGCCCCTCTTACCTGTGGGGTTCCCCAAGGCTCGATTCTGGGCCCCATCCTTTTCCTACTGTACATACTGCCCCTAGGTTCAATAACATAACATTCCCTTCCACTGCTACGCCGACGATGTACAGATATATCTGCCTCTCAAAGCAAATGTCAAACACTCACTACAGCAGCTGATGGACTGCTTAGCAGAGATTAAATCCTGGCTGAGCAAAAACTTCCTCAACCTCAACGAGAGCAAGACTGAGGTCATCTTTTTTGGACCGCAACCTCCAGCCTCTCCGGTTGATATTCTGGGCTCTATAAAAAAAAACATCCTCCCCTCGGTCATGAACCTTGGAGTGACATTCACCAGCACTTTTAAATTTGACAAGCAGGTTAGCACCGTAGTAAAATCCTGCTTTTTTAAAATAAGACTATTGGCCAAAACCAAGTCGTATTTATCTTTTAAAGACTTAGAAAGGGTTATTAACGCCTTTGTAACCTCAAGACTGGACTATTGTAACGCTCTGTATGTGGGTATGGACCAGGCCTCAATCAAACGCTTACAGCTAGTCCAAAACGCGGCTGCACGTTTGCTGACTGGTCACAAAAAGCGCGACCACATCACCCCTATTCTGGCCTCATTACACTGGCTTCCAGTTCGGCTCAGAATTGATTTTAAAATCCTTTTATTTGTTTTTAAAGCCCTAAATGGGCTGGCTCCGGCCTATATAACTGAACTGCTCCAGCGCTACACCCCAGCCAGAGCTTTAAGGTCTGCTGACCAGCTGCTGCTGGTAGTGCCCAAGACCAGGCTAAAAACCAGAGGGCACCGAGCCTTCTCAGCAGCTGGCCCCAGGCTCTGGAACACTCTGCCCCTCCATGTGAGGTCGGCCCAGACCCTAGGGGTTTTTAAATCAAAACTAAAAACACACTTCTTCTCTCTGGCTTTCTAGTTAGAGCGGAGCACGACTCCTGACTTTTCCTTGTGTTTTATTCTTATTTTGTTTTTTAAGTTATATCTGTTGTAATTTATTGTCGTTTATTGTGTTTTGTAGTAATGTGTTTTTAATACATGTACAGCACTTTGGCTCGACCAAAAATCGCTTTTAAATGTGCTTTATAAATAAAACCTGATTTGATTTGATTTGATTCAGTCGAGGTACAGCTCGTCTGTAACGTGTGCAAGTAGCTTAGGAGCTGTTAGCATGTTGTAAAAGGTAATCAATGGCTTTTATGGCTGTTACTCAATAAGGTCACTGTGTGTTCATGTGTTCATTCTCTGAGAGGCTGGACTGAGGCTATTAGCTTTATGCTAACATGCTCACAATGCTATCATGCTCCTGTTTAGCTCCTATAATGTGTTTAACATACGAGTTTAGCATGCTAACATAGCTAATTCTTGCACTATTTCTATTCTATTTTATTTGTATTTACATTTTTGCTCATCTCAAAACATTCTCTTGCACTATTTTATCTGTTGTTATTTGTTCCATGTCCTATATATATTCATGTTGCTCTGTTGGAGAAGATCTTCATTGACATATCTACTCTGTAGCTGCTGTGCAAATGACAATAAAGCTTTGAAACTTGAATGTTGAATCTTGAAAATGTGTTTAACATACGAGTTCAGCATGCTAACACAGCTAATTAGCACTAGCATGTCCTTAATGAAGGGGCTAGAGGAGATGACTAATGAATCAAATGCAATGCAATCCATCCAATAGGTGTTGAGTTATTTAAATGTGGTTCTTAGTAGTAGACAGACTATTAGCATGGCTACAAACCAGGTTTATACTCTGAAAGATTCCTTTGTATTTTCATAATAACCACTTCTAGGAACACCTACATCAATTGGAGAACTCTGAGCATCTGTAAATGTGAAGAGGCTGCAGTTAGCCTGTGTGTGTGTGTGTGTGTGTGTGTGTGTGTGTGTGTGTGTGTGTGTGTGTGTGTGTGTGTGTGTGTGTGTGTGTGTGTGTGTGCGTTGCGTGTGTGCGTGTGTGTGTGTGTGTGTGTGTGTGTGTGTGTGTGTGTGTGTGTGTGTGTGTGTTATCATTAACGCTGTGTCTCGATCCCACTCCACTGAGAGGCATCATTTCATTTCACAGCAATCAATAAACACAGGGGGTGTTTCTCAATCGCGAGTACGCTTGCTTGGTAGCACATGTCTGCCGAGCATCTTGCTTCAGAAGCGAGTCAAGAATACTTCCTGACATTCGGAAAACGAAGTGTGGAACACGCTAGCAAGTGTGCAGGTGTGCGTCATATGAGAGGCCCCGCCTTACATTTTCCGCCACAGATTTGGGGAAATTGGTCTGTGCGCAAAGCATTGTGGGGATTTTAAGACCGCGGAGTCTACTCATGTGCAGACTCGATATTTCTCCAAACGGAGTACGCCGGGCTCGGTAGATTTCCAAGTATGCTGGAGATTGGAACAGTACTTCGGCGGCACTCGATGACTCTGAAGCAGCTTTACTCGCGATTGAGAAACACCCAAGGACCTTAAAAACAGAGAAGCTACAAGAGCTGGGGAGGTTCCAATTAAATGACTTTCGAAGGGGCGAGAGAGCGAGGGAACAAGGAGAAGATCACGTCTGTATCGCCCTCTGTTGGCAGCGGCAGTGGGAGGAAAGTAGAAAGCAACCTGATCTCACCAGAATGCGTGACTCCACCACGACTCCTTAACACCGCATTGCGTGGTGGAGTCACGAACTTTGCTACATTTACGTGTCTGCACCACGCAAACAAACCCAATGTAAAGTGAATGAGGCTCCTTTGTCGTGGTGCACACACGCATTTCTACAACGTCCAGCAGTGAGCTTTTATTCTTTAAAACGTTTTTAAAATCTACTTTATAGCTTGTAGTAACTCACAGGAGGCTTCTTTTATTAGTGCGAATGCTGTGCCACAGCATTCCACTATAGTACTTCAAATCTTTATTCTTTCCGCTTATTATTATTAGTGCGAATGCTGTTTACAGCATTCCACTATAGTATTTCAATTTCTTTATTCTTCCCCTTATTATTAGTGCGAATGCTGTGCCACAGCATTCCACTATAGTACTTCAAATCTTTATTAGTGCGAATGCTGTGCCACAGCATTCCACTATAGTACTTCAAATCTTTATTCTTTCCGCTTATTAGTGCGAATGCTGTGCCACAGCGATCAAGAGGAGAGAGAGAGGGCGATCAAGAGGAGAGAGAGAGGGCGATCAAGAGGAGAGAGAGAGGGCGATCAAGAGGAGAGGGAGAGGGCGATCAAGAGGAGAGAGAGAGAGGGTGATCAAGAGAAGAGAGAGAGTAATGTAACCTCCTAATGTAATGTATTACTCCTATGAAAATGTTCAAAAAGTGCTCAAACTTCACATGTGTGCTAACAGTCCAGCCGTGAAGACATCGACAGTTTTGAGATTTCTTCAAATGCCGTTGCCATGGCAACACAATGCTCACCATGAAACACGGTTTGCTCATAACTTCAGTGA